TAGGCAAATGGTTCAAGAACCAAGGTAATAAGGCAATGTAGAAGATTTGTACCATGTCCAGGTAGGCAAATGATCCAAGAACCAAGGTAATAAGGCCATGTAGAAGATTTGTACCATGTCCAGGTAGGCAAATGGTCCAGGGTTGGCAAATTATTCAATGCATTCAGATCAAGTTATAAAACAAGATCATGCAGAGATAAGTTTAATTTTGTTTTCATTTTGTTGAAGTTCATGCCAGATACAGTACGTGGGGACCCTGGTCAGGATGTGATGCAGACTGTGGAGGAGGTGTAAGGGAGAGAATGCGCCAGTGCCTTAATCCCCCATCAGGGATGGGTGAGGAATTTTGTGCTTCTTTAGGRTCAAGTAGGATGACACAGCTCTGTAATTTAGCTCCTTGTGACGGTACGTAGAAAGACAAGAGAATTTAGTCTTAGATTTTGAGACAATAATCAAGCCTGAAAACTGTACAAAACATAAAACTGTACGTTGATAATTGTTTTTAGACAAAAGCATGCGAAAAAGAGCAAGTATTGGTAAAGACAAAAACAAGCGACAAGGACGAAAGAACTTGGTAAGAAAGTCCTTACCAAAACGCTGGATACAATTCATTTACTTGCATGGCACGCGTCGATCGACTTTGATTCGTTGCAAGATTACACATAAATATTGATCAAGATCCAGAGTGAAAAATAACAGACAGACAAGACACACACACACAAAAGATAGTTTAGTATTATGTTAACATCATGGGGATAAGTAATGCAAATATTTAGTGTTCAAATTTCACTAAGTTGCATGAAGTTCACACCTGGTGGGATGTTCATCAAAGCGTTAAATCTTTCACATAAATGCCAGTGAGACTTTACTCGAATACATTAAAATTTTTTTTTTTTTTTTTGTTTTAATTTTCGCAGATCGATTCCTTTAATTTTCTTTGATGGAAGAAATTTTGAGCGAAAGATGAGCTCCGTCAAGAGGCAAAGATATGATTTGAGACACTCAAACAAGGTGCATTCTGGTCTAGCTCAGTTGGGTACAAACTACGTTTGTATTAAGCTAGTGTCAGAGTAAATTGACCTTCCCATTAATCTCAGAAAAGGGCTGCAGCGGATTCTGGTCTAGATTGGGTATAAAAACAGGTATGAAAATCAACGGATGTTTGTACCCAAGCTAGAACAGGATCCACACTAGCTTCCACATCGTATGAAGTCAACGCATTTGCAACATGGATTGACTGAATGAGAATGTAAATTGTTTCTTTCTAGAAAAAACTTCATTGAATGCCAGTATTAACTTTAGTGAGTTTCCATTGGGAACTATTTAGGAAAAATACGGAGAAAACACACGTTTGACGAATATCAGATGGATTCTACACGTCTGTTGTGAATTAAAATAATATTGATTTTTTTATATAATTCGTATTCTAACGAGGAAAAAATGTACATCAGAAAACAAAAGCATTTGTACCCAAATAGTTTCCATGCCATAATAAATCAGAAGGGAAACTCTCTTAAAATGTACTTATTAGGGTGATGGAAATAAATAAAGTAAAATGACGAATTTTATTTTTCTTTGTTAGCCACTTTTCTTTTGTTTTATTCAGGCTGGGCAATGCTTGGGTWGCATGTGACGTCACTGTCGCCATGTTGGATAAATTTAACGAATGTTTTGACATTGATTCTTTTGTAATATCACAAACGTGGTGGACACGCGTGGACATTTCTAATGGATATTTATTTTTTCTATTAAAGAGATGCACCGCCATTTATCAGGCCATTTATCATGTATTCTATACAAAACTAAAAACTTCGAATGTATGGGCTGCCTGTGGATAACGATAGGTGACCATTTCTTAGAAATACAATTTTGATCCACCAGAAAGTTCCCAGAAATTACAACACACGACTCATTGTAGAAATCCTGATATCAACATGGAAAGTTTTCTTGAGGATCTCAAAAACGATGTGCAATGTTCCTTGTGTAACGATAGACTCACTGAACCTAAGATCTTGAAATGTTTTCACACATTTTGTAAGCCTTGCGTCAAAAGGGACGTCGAGCTGATCGAGGAAGTCAACGTCTTCAAGTGTCCAAGATGTAAGTCAGAAACTCCTCTACTGCCAGAACTAAACACTGGCGTGGATGATCTAAAACCAAGTCTACTGCACTCAAGGATGTTGAAGGTGTTGGAGTTTGTAGAAAGTGAGAAGGTTTGTTCTGTTTCTGGGAGTCATCCACCAGCATCTTGGCATTGCTTTGACTGTAATCGCTCGTTGTGTGACGAATGTGAGAAGAGCCATTCAATGTTTACCAAAGATCACAAAGTTGTATCTCTCGTAGATATAAAAGAAGAAGACATCAGAATGATGATGAGCAGAGAAACTAACTGTGAAAAACATGCTGATAAACTAGTAGAATTATTCTGTAAAGACTGCCAACAGGATATTTGTATGGAGTGCTGGAAAGATGGTCACGTTGAACACTCTATAGTTACTTTGAGTAAGTATACATCGAAAAATAAAGCTCAGCTTTCTGAACAACTGGAGGAGTTAAAAACGCTTGAACAAGAAATGAAAAACCAGGTTGAAATAATAGAAGAGGAAACAATTGAATCGAAGGCAAATTGTGAAAAAGCTAAGCTTTTGGTGAAGGAAAGGTTACGAGTAATGATAGATATGCTGCAAAAAAATGCGGAGGAGCTGTTGAAGCAAATCGATGAGAATATTAATAATATCGAGAGAAGGAAAGTCAAAAGTCRGTCTGTGCTCGATCAGACACGCGGAGTCATTGAATACATGAAGAAACTGATAGAGAAAGGGGTTGCAAGTGAAGTGATTGAGAATAAAGAGATGAAGAAAACCTGTMATACCTCTATTGATTGTGTTGGAGAGCAGTTAGACGTATTATTCCTTGCTAATAAACAGCTTACGAAACAAGTGAAATCGGGGCTCGGAGTTGTAAGAAAAGTAGAAAAAACAGATCCCAGTATGAGCAGAGTTGATTTCTATTTGTATGCTATACGAGGAATCAAACAGCAACTGATTGTGACAACGAAAACTAAATCAGGAAATTTCAACTACAATCCAAGCGATGTTATTGATATTAAAATATACCCTTCCGATGCAGTGAAAATACTGAAAAAGAATGTTACAGCGAAAGGAAAAGTAGTGTTTGAATTCATACCTGAAGTAGCTTGTCAACTGACAGCAGAGGTCCGAGTGAATGGGAATCATGTATCTAACAGTCCACTGCTGTTCGATGTATCAGAAATATAAGTACCTTTATATGGTAAAACAGAGAAAAAGTTATATCTAGATTAGCTAGTTCTAGATTAGATCACTGATAAAAATGAGAAATATTTGAATTGCGCTCCATGTCTAATGGGGTGGATGTTTCTTAGAAAGCCAGTATATAACTTCCACTTTAGATTTGACATCAGTTCGATTGTTCTTTATTTCTATTTTTCAAAGGGAGGTTGCTCATAATGTATTCCATCCACTGGATCTGCATTACTAAACTTTTTAAAACAAACCTTTGCCGCCATTTGCATTGCTACGCGGCCACCCCAGACAAAAATCGCGACGTGCACTTTGCAATAGACTGCCTTCAATCAAACACGTTGACATCATTTACACGCGTGTGTGTTTAAAAAGRCGCCAAAACTTGTCGATTGTTTACAAGTATTATGAGCCACACTCAACTGGGCCTATCCAAGCCGATCCAAACGCGTGTAAATGACGTCAACGTGTTTGCTTGACTGCAGTCTATTGCAAATTGCACGTCGCGATTTTTGYCTGGGGTGGCTGCGTAGCAATGCAAATGGCGGCAAAATATGTTTCATTTAATTTAATTAAAAATGAAAGCATAAGAATAAATAATAGTGTCAGTGTTTGGAATCCTAACCAATCATAATTATATCATGCAAGCCAAAAAAAACTTGGTTTAGACTCGACTTGCTATAATATAACTTGATAGGTAATAAACAAATAAATAATGCTTCTTTTTTCCAATTTGACCTGCCTTTAACACCGTTGGCTTTAATGGTATCGATACACCTATATCAAAAAACTTTGTCGGTCGAAGATCTGAAATCGCTGCAAATTTTAATATATTCACAGCCGAACAACGAAGTAGCTATAGATTGGCCTTTGAGTTAGAAATGTGATTCTTCGTACTTTAGCCAGAAAAAATATTAAAAGAACAAAAATTCTGTTTAATCTCAGATCTCGGACCGACAACGTTCTTAGAAATAAGTGCATACAAAAATCCGGCTGGGACCGACATGGAATAGTCTCTAAAAGAAGATGAAGAAACATAGTAGCTATCCCGGCTGACCTTGCGTGACACAAAATTTCCGAGAAATTACGACTGGCCCTGAGAGTCACGCTCACAATTCCAAGAAAGAAATTYGTTCCAGAAAAGGTTGTTTACTCGACATGGAATCCTTCCTTGAAAACCTCAAAAAAGATGTCCAATGTTCCTTGTGCAATAATACTCTTATTGAACCCAAGATCTTGAAATGTTTTCACACATTTTGTGATCCTTGCATAAAAAGACACGCCGAGCTGATCGAGGAAGTCCATGTCTTCAAGTGTCCTCGATGTAAATCAGACATTCTCTTACCACAAGAAAAACTGTGTCATACATGTGAATTACTAACTCTTCCGTCAAAATTATGCAGCCTCAAAGATCTGAAATCAAGTGTTCTACATTCAAGGATTTTGAATGTTGTGACTTTAGCAGAAGGTAGGAAGATTTGTTCTGTTTCTGAGAGTCATTCTCCAGCATCTTGGTATTGCTTCGATTGCAGTCGTTCGATGTGTGACGAATGTTTGAAGAATCATAAAACTTTTATTGACAGTCATATGGTCATAAACCTCGACGAATTAAAGCTAGAAGACCTTGAATTTATCCTTAAAAGGGAAGGCGATTGTAGTAGCTGTCGTATTGGGCAAAGAGTTGAGGTGTTTTGTCGTACTTGTAATGTGTTGGTCTGTGTGTTTTGCATGAAGCAGGAACACAGAGAACACGATTTGACATCGCTAGACACATTTGCTTCTTTGAAGAGAGAAATATTATCTAAGCACTCGGAAGCACTGGATAAGTTAATGTTAAATGAACAGGAAGTACAAGAACAGAAAAATATTGCTTTGTTTATCACACAAAACGGACAAAAAGCCATTCAAGAAGTGAAGGACAAAACAAAGGAAGTTATAAATAATTTAATACGAAATGAACAAGAGTTGTTGAAGCAAATCTATAGCAAGATGGACAGAGCGATCAGAAACTTGAATATAATCCATCATATTCCAGCTGTCAAGGAATACATCAATAATATAATGGAAAGAGGATTGGCAAGTGAAATGGTCAACATTCAAGAAACAGAATCCTATGAGGATTATATTTTTGTCCCTATTCAAAAGAACAATATCTCAGAGATTGTTTTCGTTCCCAACGAAGATTTCTTGAAACGTGGACAGATGGTTTCCAGTATCGGTGAAATACAAACAAAGTTAAAAACAGACCATGTTACGGACCAAACCTTTCTTCAACAAGTAAATACAGAACTGGAAGAAATRCCGTCTTACTCTAAAAAAAACCATACGATGAGTACTGTTGAAGTGACATCTGAATCAGAAGCTCTAAGGAAAGAAAAGCTGAAGTTGATAACCAAAACCTCTGCAGGAGAACCCAGTCATGATCCAGGTGATGTTATTAACCAAGCCTTTTTTCAACAAGTAAATACAGAACTGGAAGAAATACAGTCTTACTCTAAAACAGACCATACGATGAGTAAAGTTGAAGTGGCATCTGAACCAGAAGCTCTAAGGAAAGAAAAGCTGACGCTGATAACCAAAACCTCTGCAGGAGAACCCAATCATGATCCAGGTGATGTTATTGATGTTAAAATCAGCCCTGAAGATAATGTGGAAATAAAAGAAAACWATGTGAGAACTGATGGTAAACTAGAAGTGGAGTTCATGCCTAAAGTAKTTGGTCAACTGACAGTAGAGGTTCAAGTGAATGGGAATAATGTATCTAACAGTCCACTWGTGATAAATGTGAAGCCACAGAAGATGGGAATAACAAGAGAGTTTAAGATGAAAGGCGTGAGTGTAGAATCTCGTACGTTAACAGGTGTCGCTGTTAACAAAAAGAATAGCAAAGTAGCAGTTGCTTACGAGTCTCACAGTTCTGTGCATGTGTTCAACACTGATGGAGATCTTTTGCTAAGGTATGGTAGAAAGGGAAGTGGAGAAAGACATTTGCTGAAACCAGAAGGATTAGCATTTTTGAATGAGACAGACTTGGTCATAGCAGATAATCGTAATTACAGATTATGTATAGTGAACACTACTACAGGTACATTGGTAAATAMATTTGGTAAGCTTGGTAAAGGTGAAGGGGAATTCAACGATTCCTATGGAGTACACGTTGATGACGATGATAATGTTATTGTTGCATGTGACTTCCATAATGAACGTGTTCAAGTCTTCACAAGAGATGGGAAATATCAATATCATTTTGGTTTGACCAAAGAGGACAATTTTCATCCAGTCAGCGCTGTAACATACTTTGGACGGTTTTACGTGAGTGACTATACGAATAATGTCATTCACGTATTTGAGAAAAAAGACGGTGTCCTGACTAAAATATCGACAATTGGTGGTAAAGGAAGTGCTGATGGTCAGCTGAGTGAACCATGGGGCCTGGCTATTGATAATGACCATCATCTACTGGTCTGTGATCGTGGGAATAACCGCATCCAAAAGTTCACACTGGATGGCCGTTTTGTAGGAATAACACGTGATAAACTCAAAGATCCGCGCTTTGTAACGGTGTTAAATGATGGTAGCCTACTGGTCACTACTTTTCGATCTGGTTTGTATGTGGTAAATAGGATTTTGAACACAGAAAATGAGACGGTGCTTGGGACACCTACTCGGAGATCTGCGCGCACGCGTAGAAAGTGATCTATAGACCTTTCGTGTGATAGCAAACATGGTGCATTGTGGTCTAGCTTGGGTCGTGAGATAGCAAACATAGTGCATTATGGTCTAGCTTGGGTCGTCAGATAGCAAACATAATGCATTATGGTCTAGTTTGGGTCGTCAGATAGCAAACATAATGCATTATGGTCTAGCTTGGGTCGTCAGATAGCAAACATAATGCATTATGGTCTAGCTTGGGTTGTCAGATAGCGAGGATGGTGCATTATGGTCTAGCTTGGGTCGTGAGATAGCGAAGATGGTGCATTGTGGTCTAGCTTGGGTCGTGAGATAGCAAACATGGTGCATTGTGGTCTAGCTTGGGTCTTGAGATAGCAACTATAGTGCATTGTGGTCTCGCTTGGGTCGTGAGATAGCGATGACAGTGCATCATGGTCTAGCTTGGGTCGTGAGATAGCAAACATGGTGCATTGTGGTCTAGCTTGGGTACGAATACCTTTTGTTCATTTTGACTTATGCGGTATCATTTGTACCCAAGCTAAACCAGAATGCTCTTGGGACTAGAATAATTGCATGGAATGCTATTGCTAAGTGGAAAACATACATTGTAAGAATTCTTTAGTTAACTTTTACGAGTTTAGGTTTTTTATTTTCTAGGTGACGATTTTCATAGTTTTTTTATTCATTGATTTTATTTGCTAGTTTTATAGCTCTGGGCCCGGTTGTACGAAGCCTGGATAGCGCTATCCAAAGGATAAATCCTTATCCAGTGGATAAGTCGATGCTGTTATCCAATACATTTATCCACCGGATAGTGCTATCCACCCTTCGTACAACCGGGCCCTGTAGACGTATTTATTATTTATTTATTTATGCATCCAATGTATATTATTTATAGGTTATTATATTGTGTGCTGAGATATACGAGAAAAACATAAATAAGAAATGTAGGGACAATGGCCGACTGTAAATTTTCTCATTATCGATCTAAAGTGTGTCTAAATAAATAAATACCAATAAACTTCCTTTTCGACAATTTACTTAATGACTTATATAATGGTGGGGTTTCTGTGGAATTGGAGGGGGACGTTATCACCGAAATTTTCTCC